GGGGGTTCAGTTCCCGGTCAGGGTACGTGACTAGGCTGCAGGTTCAGTCCCCGCTTGGGGTGCCTTTTGGAGGCAACCAATCATTGATGTTTCTCTCTCTCTCTCCCCCACCGCCTTTCTCTAAAATCAATAAATATATATTTTTTAATTTAAAAAAATTAGGTGGCTTCAAAGGGCTAATACCAATAAAGGGAATAGGTGATAAATGAGAAAATATGTTTGCAGCACGAAATGTGCTAGGGAGAAAAAAGCAGGGAAGGTGGACAGGGTGTTGGTGTGGGGGGAGTCTGTGACTTATTTAATGGAGTGGACAGCTGACCACCTGTGAAGGTGGCATTTGAATAAAGGCCTAAAGGAGGAGCTGTGCAGGTGTCTGGAAAAGAGAGTTCTAGGCAGAGGGACTGGTCTATGCAAAGGTACTGAGGTGGGAAACATGCCTGGTCTGTTCAGGGCACAGTGATAGGAACTTGTGGCTAGAGGGCAGGGAACAAGGGGGCAAGCAGGAGGAGAAGCGAGGTCAGAGAGGTGACAAGAGCCTTGGTGGTTATTGTGGCTATGGGGTGCCTGGACCTTCCTCACTCTGACCCCATCTCTGCCACAGAGTGCACCAATCCAGGACACAACCACCATATCTGAGCTGCCTTCAGAGACCCAGGAGACCCCGGGCCCCACCCTGTGCAGGTGACACTCCTCCCCTGCCCACCACCTATCACCCCTGCCCACTCTCCCCATCCCCACCAGTGTCCTCTCTCCACAGCCCTCTCAGTAAGTCACCCTTGACCCTGGAGGATTTCAAATTTCTGGCAGTCCTGGGCCGGGGTCACTTTGGAAAGGTGAGATGGGGGCAAGGGGTTGAAGAGCTGGGAGTCTACGCTCCTGGGCCGGCTGCTAAGGCCACCTCTGCCCACTGTGGTTCCAGGTGCTGCTTTCTGAGTTCCGGCCCAGCGGGGAGCTGTTCGCCATCAAGGCTCTGAAGAAAGGGGACATTGTGGCCCGAGATGAGGTCGAGAGGTAGGGACCCTGCTCAGGCCCTCTGAGAACATCCGTCTTCTCTCCTGGGAAATTAAGCTAGCACTTAAGATAATAATAACCTTTAGAAAACACCCACTCTACACTTTACATTTAGTAACTCATTTGTTCCGCACAACAGCCCTAGGTGGTAAACACTGTTATTGCTCCCATTCTGCTGATGGCACAGAGAAGGTGAGCAAGTTGCTTGAGGTCACATAGCCAGTAAGCATCATGTCCAGGATCATTCAGATCTAGGGACTCAGGCCCTGAAGGCTGTGCTCTTAATGGTGCCATTGCATTTCTTCTGCTTTGGGGTCTGGGCCCTGAGTTCAAATCCCATCTCTGCCACAGACATGCTTAGAGATCCTGGGCCAGCCCTTCTGAACCTCAGTCTCCCCATCTATAAAAAGGGAGTAATAATGCCTTTCTTGCAGGGTAATCAGGTGGATTAAATGAGAGACCAAATCTAGAGCATTGTGTACAGTGCCTGGTCCCCTGTAAATGCTTGGTGGGAACACTGATCACCTTGACATCCTTTTGTTAATCAGGAACCCAATTCAGACAGGCTTAAGCAAATAGAGGAATGTATTGCATTGGGTCAGAAATGTCCAGGGATGTCTGCCTTCAGGCATGGCTGTATCCAGGTGCTCAGATTGTCACTGTTCTACTTTCCTGTGTATGGGCTTTGATTGAAGTCCTCTCATGGGGACAGAGAACAGAGACATTCCCACCCCACCCCAGCAGTTTAAGGCTCATCCACCAACTTTAGCCTTTCTTCCTTAAAAATTCCAGCAGAGCCCTGACCAGTGTGGCCCAGTTGGTTGAGCATCATCCCACAAAGTGAAAGGTGGCTTGGCTTGATTCCCAATCAGGGCATATGCCTGGGTTGCCCTGGCTGGGGTGCGTATAAGAGGCAACCGATCAATGTCTCTCTCCCTTTTTCCCTCCCTTCTCTATCTAAAAATAAATAAATAAAATCATTAAAAAAAATTGCATCAGAGTGAGCCCTGCTGGCTTGGCTTCCTCATTCCTGATCAATTCCTGGCCAGGGAGACTGGGTACTCCAATCAGCTTACCCCTGCCACCTCCCCAAAAGGAAGTTGGGAGTCTGTTACTAGGATGGCAGATGGATTCTAGGTGCCTGTTTAGCAGATGAGGCTGCTGAGGGTCAGAGATACTGAGCAGTTTGCCCAAGGTTTTACAGCCGTTAGAGGCCCTCAACAAATATCTGATTCTTGAGGACCTAGGGAGTATGAGAGTTGGGGGCGGGGAGCTGTAGTGCTCTCTGACCCCTGTCCCCACCCTGCCCAGCCTCATGTGTGAGAAGAGGATCTTGGCCGCGGTGACCAGTGCGGGACACCCCTTCCTGGTGAACCTGTTTGGCTGTTTCCAGACACCAGAGCACGTGTGCTTTGTGATGGAGTACTCAGCTGGTGGGGACCTGATGCTGCACATCCACAGCGACGTCTTCTCCGAGCCCCGTGCCGTGTGAGCCTGGCCCCCCTGGCCTCCCGCCCCCTACACCCCATGCCTCAGTCCCCTTCCTGCTCCCTTTCCTGGAGACCCTGCCCCCCTCTCCAGCTCCTGGAGTCTGGGGGGACAGGGGACTTGGAGGATCTGAGATCTTCAGATTTATATGATTTTCCTTGAGGGGAGGCCTGGTTCCCTCACACCAGCCTCTCTTTACAGCTTCTATTCAGCCTGTGTGGTGCTGGGGCTGCAGTTTCTCCATGAACACAAGATTGTCTACAGGTGTGTGTGTGTGTGTGTGCACGTGCTTGTACATGTATGCTCTGCCCACTGGGGTTCAGGCAGGGCCCCCATTCCCACTCATTCCTCTTTTACATCTCCCAACCCCTCACAGGGACCTGAAGTTGGACAATTTGCTCCTGGACACCGAGGGCTATGTCAAGATCGCAGACTTTGGCCTCTGCAAGGAGGGTAAGGGGTGGGGTGGGCATTAGACAGAGTTGGTGCGGGGGGGGGGGGATGCAGTCCCCAGCCCTACCAAGGTTATCTCACAACCCTGCCCTTGATCCTGGGACACCAACTCCACCCCTCAATAACCTCCCATGTCCCTGCTGCCTCAGGGATGGGCTATGGGGACCGGACCAGCACATTCTGTGGAACCCCGGAGTTCCTGGCACCCGAGGTGCTGACAGACACGTCATACACGCGGGCTGTGGACTGGTGGGGTCTAGGCGTGCTGCTCTACGAGATGCTGGTTGGCGAGGTGAGGCCCCAGGTTGCCCCGACCCTGCTTGTTCCGGGGACGGCACTGGGACCTGCAATGTGCCCGGGGCTGGAATCAGAATCTGGCTCCACCACATGTGTGATCAGGGGCAGGCAGCTTCTCTTCCCTGGCCTCAGTTTTCAAATTGTAAAATGGGGACTTACCCTTCATGTAAAGTGCAGCCAGAGCAGAGGGCTTGGATGGGCCTGGGCATGGCCTGGCCTAACTGCCCAGTTCATTTACCCTGTTCTTCCTGTCCCCAGTCCCCTTTCCCAGGGGATGACGAGGAAGAAGTATTTGACAGCATTGTCAACGATGAGGTTCGCTACCCCCGATTCCTGTCAGCTGAAGCTATTGGCATCATGCGCAGGGTAAGGACCCCCGAGCTGGGGCGGGCCTGGGGAGGGCTTCTGGGGTCCAGAGGGGAAGACTGACACAGTGCCCCGCTGCTCCAGCTGCTGCGGAGGAATCCGGAGCGGAGGCTGGGGTCCAGCGAGCGGGATGCAGAGGATGTGAAGAAACAGCCCTTCTTCAGGGTGAGGACACCCCACATCCTGCAAGGGCCTGGTCATCCCCTCTTAACAGCTCACTGCTTTACCTCCAACACTGGCACCCCACTGACCCTCATATACTCACGCCCACTCCAGGCCGCCTGGTCTGAGCCACTGCCCTGTGTGTGAGCCCAGGCTCTCCTCCGATCACCAGGGCTCCCTACGCTCACCCCGTGACCCTTCCCTAACTCAGTTTTCCCCACTTTGCCCTTCTATCTTGTGATTCATTAGCTAGATCTCCACAGATCTAGGGCTGGATGGGTGCATGGGGCTGGCTCCCCAAGCCATCCCTGCTCCAACCCTCGCAGTGACCTTCCCTTACGCCCCATGCAGACCCTGGGCTGGGACGCCCTGCTGGCCCGCCGCCTGCCGCCGCCCTTCGTGCCCACGCTGTCGGGTCGCACGGATGTCAGCAACTTCGACGAGGAGTTCACAGGGGAGGCCCCCACACTGAGCCCACCCCGAGATGCGCGGCCCCTCACTGCCGCGGAGCAGGCGGCCTTCCGGGACTTTGACTTTGTGGCGGGGGGCTGCTAGCCCTGTCCCCTGCCCCTGCTCCCACCCATCTGTTAGTGGTTTTTAAAGATGCCTTTGGGGTTTGCACTTCCCATGCTTCCTGGGCTCTTCTTGTTCGCAGTAATGGGAATGGAGGGCCCTGATCGGAGATGGGGAGGTGGGCGGGGGCGTTGGGAACGATGAGGAGACATCCCGGGTTATGGTGAGGGGTTATTTGAAGAGGGTCAAGGGAGGGTGGACACTCGGGGTTGTCACTATGGTGGGAAGCACAGACAGGCCAAGAAGGGAGGGGATTCGGAGCTGTGTTGAGGGACGTCTGGAATTAGAGACAGTGACAGGACATGGTTGGGGCTTACCCCAACTATGGGGCTGGGTCTTGGGGCTGTTGGGGAGCTCAGAGCCACAACGGGCAAATGGCTGCGGGAGTCAGTCCTGGCAGCGGCAGGGGCAAGAAGCGCTCTAGGACTGTCGCTCTGCTCCTGGTGGGCCCCGGATCCTGAGACTGCGCCCCGCATTCCGCACAGGCTCCTGTGTTTCTGGCTCCACATTGGACGTCTCTGGGTCTCCATGTGGCTAATCCTGGAATTGTACCCCCAGAGGAGCTCCCCTTGCCTCTGCCAACCACCACCTCGCCCTCCCGCGGTCACACGCGTGTTGCAGCCCTGATGGGGCACACCACCTTGGGCTGGTCGGCAAAATGGTTTTATTTTTCGAAGACTGCGTTGCAGACCTTGCTTGGGCCAGAATGGTCTACCTTAGCTGCTGGGCTTCCAGGTGTGTCTAGAAGTGACTGAGGGTACTATGCTGGGAGCTTCGCAGTGAGCTGGCCTCCCAGGCGCTTCTGGTTAGGCCCAGCCCCGCGGGGCTGCCCTTGGCCCTGGACCTCGGGGACAGGAGGCGGAGCAGTTGGCGCAGCACGGCCTGGCGCAGCAGGATATACACCCAAGGGTCCAGGATCTGATTCCACGAAGCGAGGCGCACAGCCAAAAACAGCGGCCGCTGCAAGGAGCTGGAGCCCCAGCCCCCGACGGCCAGCACCACCAACACCTGTGGAAGAACCCGGTGTGAGGGCGTGAGCGGTGGGGTGGGTGTGAGAGAAGGGGACCAGCGAAGTGTGGGGCTGGGATGGGTGGCAGCATGACCGGAAGGTGAGGGGGCGGGGCATCACAAGGGTAAAGAGATGTCTTCGTGCAAAGACCAGCGGAGGAGCATATAGGGCGTGGCAAAAGCAAAGGTCTTCATTGCGTGGGGGCTCGGGCTAGGAAGAAGTCCCGGTGTTCCGAAGGGCAGGGCACTGGAGAAGAGAGGGAGAATGGGGTGGGGCGGAGGAAGGGGGCTGGGATGAAGCATCAGACCTAGAGGGGTGGGGCTGGGGAGGGGCAGGTGTGGGGCTGGGGAGGGGCAGGTGTGGGTTGGGGTAAACTACAAAGACCTACAAGGAGTAAGTTGAAGGTAAAGGGGCTGGGAGGAGGGGCGGGTTGTCAGGGAGAGGGCAAAGGGCGGGCTCTCCTGTCTGGCAGGGTTTCGAGGAGGCGGGGCCCTGGATGGGGAAGGGAGAGAGGACTCAAGTATTCTTGGATAGAAAAGGGTAGGCAGGGCCACGGTGGGAGAAGGGAGAAGTTTGGCTGGAAGAGCCGGTGTGCCCCTCACCAGCAGTGGGCTCCAGCAGATGCACGACACCACCATGATGCCCACGAGCTGGCCCACCATCTCCACGTCGTGGACGCGGGCTCTGCGCGCCGAGTCACGGCCTAGGATGCCTCCGGGGACAGCAGAGGCCGAAGCGACGGATGAGGCGGAGGCCGAGCGTAGTCTGCGTGTGCCCCAGCGCCTGCGGCTGTCGGAGCCTGAGGTCGTGGGCTGCCATTGAGAGCGGCGGCGCCAGCGGGCGCGCAGCAAGGCCAGGCCGCTCAGTGTGTTGCACACGAGTGCAGCGAGCAGCGCAGCAAGGCCGAGGCCAGCGAAGAGGCCAGCGAGCAGTGCCTGGCGCCAGCCACCTGCTGGGCCCAGGCCGATGAAGCACCACGTGCCGGGGTACTGCAGCTCGTAGTGACCCACTCGCACCACAGGCAGCAGTGCCACGGCCAAGGCCACCGCGGCCAGTGTGGCCAGCGCAAGGCGCGCACGGGCTGCCGAGACACGTGCCGCATGCAGCAGAGGCCGAGTGACCCCCACGCAGCGCTCCACCGCCATACCACAGCCCAGTAGCAGTGGGCACAGGCCAAAGAAGACCATGCAGCCGCCGAGGAAGTGACAGGCGCCTCCGGCGGGTGAGCGCCCCGCTGTGTACAGGCGCAGCACCAGCGCGCCCGGAATCACGTGGCCTGCGAGGTCAGTGGCCAGCAAGCTGGCGACGAAGAGCAGGAAGGTAGCGGCCGAGCGGCGGCGGCGCAGGCGGCCCGAAGCCTGAGCCAGCAGCGCCAGCGCCAGCACGTTGGACACGGCGCCCAGCGTCATGGAGAAGATGGGCAGCGCTGGAGAGGTGCCCCCGAGGCCCAACGGCGGCCCAGCGGACGTGTTGGGGGCCCCAAGTGCTGTACATGTGGTCGCCTCACCCGCTAGGCTCAGGTTGAGGGGCCCGTAAGGGTTCATGTCAGGTACTGGGGTGGGGCTGGGGAGAAGAGAAGGGAAAGTTGAGGCTGGCCCAAGGCACAGCACCCACTGTTGAGCTGGGACCTGCTAACGGTCCCTTCTCGGAGCATTAGAGCTCAGAAGGGCCCATGGCAATTCCAATGACTCTTGCTGTCCAGGTCCTTACTCCTTTCTGCTTCTCACCATCCCAGCCCTTGCTCCCAGCCTCCCCGTGGCCCCCCTGGCTCTAGCCCTCCTGTCACGGCCTCTGGGCCTCACAGACCCACCTCCCATTTACACCACATTGAATTCCTGGTCCCATCTCTGATCCCAAGGCCCCGCTGCCCCATCTCTGACAGTCATGTCACTTCTACCCCAGTCCCATGTGTGATGCCCACAGTTCCACCTCTGCCACTGTGGACCCCTCTTTCCCCAACGCACTGTCTCTATCCACATGGTCCCACTGCAGTCCCCATGACCACCTCTCTGTCCCCACAGACCCACTTCTGTCCCCTGCATTCCCATCTCTGAGTTCCACTGCTGTCTCTCACTAAGGCCCTACCCCTGACCACAGCTGCCTCACCCTGGATGCCCCAGGGTCCCACTCCTCTGCCCAAGAGGCCTCCAGGCTGACCCAGGACCACCCACTCCTTGATACCCGGTGGTGAGGGCTAAGAGGACAGAACTGCCCCCTCCGGGTCAGACGGGAAGGGAGAGTGGACAGATGGGAAGAGTGACAGGGACAGATGGGGCTGAGAGTCAAGGAGCTCAGGATGGACAGAGGGAACCATGGCCCCACCCTTCCTGCCCTTCAGCCCCACCCGAGAACCTCACACCCCAGACTTCTTACCTGGTGGTGTCTGGGACACTGGGTCCCCATCGCCTGCTCCTCGGTCCCTGCTGCCTGCTGCACCTCCCGCTGCGCCTGAGCTCTCGGGCAGGCCGCGTCCTCCCTCCCTTTCTACAGGGGCGGCTCCTCAGCTCTCTGCCTCCCCCCGCTGCCCACTCAGGCCTCCAGGGGGCCGCTCCACCCAGAACTAGTCTGCTGGGGTCCTGGGGTGGCAGAGACCCCATCTCGGTGCTCCTGGCAATGGGTGGGGACCACTCTGGGCCCCAGCTCTCCAGTGAGAAAGAGGTGCTCCCAGGGTGTTGTCCTGGCCCTCTGTGATCCCCTCCTCCTGGCCGGCCGGGCAGGAGCACCCCCCTTCCCCCCAGGCTCAGGCCTCTCGCCTGCCTCATTAATAAAGTGGATAAAATCTAAACACTGGAAAATGTGAGCGTCACCAGGGGCGGGCTGGGGTGGCTGCAGGGGGTGCTGCTGCACCCATGGGGCTGCAAAGGTTGAAAGGCTAACCCTGGTGGAGGCAGTCACACTCTTACCCTGCCAGAGCCTCCATGGATGTCGGCTGGGTGGTGAGGAGCAGTGGCCTTGGGTGGACTAGCTTGGGTCAGACCCAGCCAGGCCACAAGACCCTACCGCTATTTACACAGGGGCTTAAAGCCTAGGCCAGGGCAGCAGAGAGTCATACCCATGAAGAGGAGGAGGCGGCCCAGAGAACGGGGGACTCTCCTAGATCCTGCTTCAGGACATGGTGAGCGACACCTGGGACACACCTATGGACATACAACTCCTCACCTCCTGCTCTGAGAAGGGGCACACACACAGTCTCAGACCTGAAGACACACTATTATATCCCCTAACACCCTGAGACCAGCCGCTATCTCCAGCCCGTCCCCAGCCAGCCACGTTCTTCAGAGACTTGGGGTCAGCCATTGTCACACCCCTGAACTCAGAGATATCTGCACCCCCAGCACCAGAGACATCCAAGTTACCAACTCACACTGGCCACCCTTCTCAACACCCTGAAATGCAGCCCCCTGAGATCTGTATCACTGATACGGCCCCTTACCCACATCCATACCACCCAGAGATACCCCCTAACAGTCCAAGACAAGGAGTCCCTGGACACTCCGAAATCTTTGCCTGTCTCCCCTACCTCTACCCTAGAAACCAGAACAGCCAGACACACTCACAGTTCTGCAGTCACAGCCACACTCCACGTGGACACTGCCAGTTTCTTCAACAGTTACAGTGCTCAGTATGGTCACAAATCATCACCACACAGCCCTACTCTCAACAGACACACCAAACCCTTCAAACCAGAGCCTTCTACTGGCACACAGAGAACACCCACAGGTGCCCAAGAGTGCACGGAGTAACCCCAACAACCCGAGATGGGGTCTCTGCCTGTCCCACTAGAGAACACAGCCATGGACTCTAGCACAGTGGTCCTCCCACCTCCCTACCCCGGGGGCCAACTGCCTACCCAATGGAAATGGGAAATGGGCTGGGCTCACATTTCCCCTCAGCTCACCCTCAAACATTCCTGCAGGGACCCCTGTCCTAGCTGGCTCCCCTCCCTTCAATCTTGGCCCTTCCCTCCAAGTCTGGCCAAGGTCCCGCCGACCCCACTTCCCCGATTCCCCTTCAATCCTCAAGGATGAAGTGGGTTGTCAAAACAAGCAGGCTGGGCTTACGTTCAGTGCACAGCCCGGCCCGCCATGAACACCCGCAGACCCTGCACGTCCGGCAGGCTGTGTGCGGCGGTGGCATCACGACTGCTCCCCCAGCTTCAGGGTGGGCTCCTCCCCAGAGCACTCGCCCCAGCAGGCCTGAGGCTCCCTTTGGGCCTTCTCCCCCGACTTTTCTTTTCATGAGTCAGGCTTCCACACCTCCCGGGCCTGGGGCTCCCCGCAACCCTGGGCTACAGCCAGCAGCTTGTGCCCGGTGTTCACATCAGGCTGAGGTGGCAGGAGGCCTTGTTCGAAAGGGAGCCAGACTTGAACCCTCAGTAGGCCGAAATGCTCAGACCTTGCCTGGAAGCCGGGTGGCCCACAGCCAGGAGCCCTGTCAGGCGGAACGGGTGGGAGGGGGTTGGCAGCCAGGGCCAGCTCCTAATTCAATTTGAAGCCCTAGGAGGATGGATTTCAGCTGCTACATTCTTTCCCAGCCTGGGCCTACCCCACACACCCTCCCCAAGGCCAACCAGACAGGTCCAACAGCAGAGTCTTTATGTTCCAGACAGCAAATTCAGATACAAAAGCCCACCGCCACCACCCCTCATGCCCTGTCTGTCTGGAGCTGGACTGAGGGAGACACAGGTGTGGGGTGGGGACGTTGGGGGTTCACAGCAGACTCATATTTCAAATGTGGAGGTAGGGAGCTCCTCTGGAGGGGGGTGAAAGAAAGGGGGGATTATTGCATTTGCTGAGGGGGGAAGCCCCCCCTTTGGACCCCCTATGTTAAGAAACCAGGGAGGTCAGGACCCCCAAACAGAACCCGAGGCCCCAGAGAGACGAAACCAGTTTGGCAGCTGATGTGGAAAGTACTGGGGGCGGGGGGGCTGGCTGCCCAATCTGGCTAGTCCCTCCCAGAGCCTGACCTGGCTGAGGTAGGTGGGGAACAGGGTGGGAGTGCAGGGGATCTCGGGACCCCAGCCAGGCTGGGAACCAGGGAGGGGGCGGTACCGACTGGAGTGGGGCAGGGGCTGAGCCCCACCTCCTGGCCACATCATCCTGGGACTGCTGGGCCAAGGCCAGGATGAAGGCCAGGCCAAGCCAGATGCTGGAGTCTGGGCCCTGGTGTTCCCACCCCAGAGGTTCCCACCAGGTCTGGTCCAGGTCACTGCAAGGTCCAATAGGAAGCCTAGTAACGGCCGACCTTGGCGTCCCCGATGGCACCCCAGACGTCAAAGACGAATTCATCAGGGAAGGCAAAGTCACCAAGCCGCTCATCTAGGGCCTCGGCCAGCTCGTCTGGGTTCCTCTTGTCCTTCCCAAGCTCCACCATGGTGGCCGCTGCGGGTGGAGAGGAGCAGAATGGAGGCACAGATAGCAGAGGTGCTCACTCGGGTAGACTCAGTCCACAGGACTTGGAAGCCTCCTGCCCCAGCCTCCCACCCCTACCCAAATACAAGTGCCAGCAACTCACCCAACTCTGTGTCCCTAATGCCCATGTAACTCTCCAGCAGGTCATCGACTTTCTCAATTGCCTTCTCCTCAAAGGCTGAGGGCTAGAAGTAGGGTGGGAGGATGAATAGCAGCATCACAATAACATGACTATAACTCTGAATGTATTTACTAAGTGCCAGGTCTCCTTTTGCCACTTTATATATAAACCCACAGTTCATTCTCATGACAACCCTAACATTTATCAGTATTATTACCACCCCCACCCCCATTTTACAGATAAGAAAACTAATAAGACCAGCCCACTTATCCAAGAAAGGTCCTATAGCTGGGAGGAGGCAGAGGTGGGTTTGCATCTAGTGCCTGGAGCCCCTCAAGCTAAGCAGGTAGTGCTGCTACCTATGAGTGTGCAGGGAAGGGGTCTCCACTTTGAGTGTACAGAGTGGGGCCCAGCTAGAACACTCACCAGATCCTCTACTGTGGCAGGGCCCCGGGATCGCAGCCTGAGAGTCCCTCGGCCAGTGCCCAGCTGGGGGCCAGAACCAGGACGACCACCCCCTGAACGCACACTGATCATGTCTGTGAAAAGCAGGGGAGTTATGGTGTGTGTGTGTGTGTGTGTGTGTGTGACAAATACAGCCTGTTCTAGACAGGAATTCAGACATCCTTGTCCCCCTCTATCTCCTCCAAGCTCCTTTAGGTTTCAGGGGTAGCTGGGGGTGAGGTGACCCAAGGAGAGCAGGACTCCTGCCTCAGACTTGGCATGGATGGGGGAGGGACAGCCAGGACTGGGAAAGGAAAAGGATGAAGGGGGAGACTGAAGTGGGCCACATCTCCTCCCACGCCTACAGAACAGGAAAGGGGTGGGGCCTTGATCTCTAGCTGCTCTTCCCAGGGCCAAAGGGGTATAGCTTCTGGGCTACGGACCAGCCCTATCTGCCCCGGGAAGTGTTTCGGAATCCCCTACCCCCACCCTAGGGGCCTGCAGCCCATTCCTGAGAGTTACTGAAGCCAGACTGAAAAGGGGGGGGTGGCTGGCACAGGTCAGCTGAGCCTGACTTATTAGGCCTGGGGGAGCTGGCCAGGGTTGGGGGCATTTGGCTAGGCTAATGGCTCCTGGAAGCTGGCTGTGGGGGTAACTTCCTCCTTGCCCCTACTCTCCTCCCAAGCTGGGCAGAGAGCCAGCACCCTCTCCCCAAGGCAGGGCAGAGCAGTGCCTCTTTCCAATTCGGCCAGCTGGGCTTGGGCGCCACCTTCTGGTGGCCCATGACACTGTACCCTGGGCCCAAGTGAACAGGGAGTATATATATTGGTAGTACAGGCAGCAGCCCCCTCACCAAAGGCCTTTCGGGGCTCCGTGAGCTTCAGTGTGAAGGTGCGGCCTCGGGGAAGCTCCTTGAGCAGCCGGGCCACCTCGTAGTGCCGACAGCCCAGCAGGCTCTGCCCATTGATGGCCTCGATCATGTCACCCACGCTAATGAGCTGGATGTGGTCAATGACGCTACCCTCCTTGATGCGCTGGAGAGAAAGGAGCTGTTAGCCTGGTGGCTCCGTCCCTTGGTCCTATGGCCCAGCCTAACCTCAGGCACCTTGATGAAGGCGTAGCCAGCCCCGTTGTCCGTGATGGTGAGCCCCAGCGCCTCCTCTGACTTGAACACCTCCACCTCCTTACGTTGCCCTTTGACATGGGCAAAGATGAAGTCCTCCAGCCCAATCTGGCCCCCCAGGAGCTTGTCCATGTCCACTTTGTGGGTGTTGAGGGTGCAGAACATCACCTGCAGAGATGGGAGACACTCAACTCTCACCTTCCCTCCCTTACCCTATGCAACACCAATCTGATGGAGAAGGGAGGAGAGTTTGGAAAGGCCTGGGGGTCCCCACCCCAGTGCCTGACCACCTCCACAGCCAGAGCTGGGATGTCAGCTCTGCTATGGCTGGAATTTCTGCTCTGGCAAAACCTCCTTGCTGGTTCCAGGGCACAGAACCTGGCCTGCTGCGGGTGCTTGGTAAATTTTTGTGTAATGAATGAAAGGCACAGACACCTACCCAGCCTACTGAGATCCCTGTAGCTACTTCTTGCTCAATCCCACTACTGCCCTCTGAGGCTCTCTTTTGTGCCCAAAGTCCTTAGGATCAGGCTTCCCTACGCATCAAGGAGAAGTGAATCTTGCAACAGACTTCCAGCCACCACAGTTCACTGGGGTGCAAGCCTCTCAATATATAATGGGAATATAGCATCCAGTCCTGAACATCAGTTCCTGTAATCCACTGGGGCACCCGTTTCCCCAAACCCAGTGAAAACTTAGCACCTAGTCCTGGCCTCCAGGTCCCCATAATTCACTCGGGTTCCCGCCTCCCAGTGCCTCATGGGAACTTAGCATCCGGGTATGGACATCAGTCCCAAGGATTTACTCGTGCCCAGGCCTCCCAAAGCCTGATGGGAACTCAGCATCCAGCCCTGGCCTCCAGTTCCCCATCATTCAGTGTGGCTCAGGCCTCAGCATCTGTAGCATCAGCACCAGCTCAGGACCAGCATGCACGTCCAGGCCTCTAGCCCACCATCATGACCCTGGGGGCTCCCTGGTGGGTACCTCAGCAGCTGGCAGTCGGAAGGCCTCAGCAATCTTGCCATACAGCTCCTTGACGTTGGTAAAGCCCTCGATTCGACCAGTGGGACTGCCGTGGGCTAGCTGGGTGTGGAACACGAGGCGGGGCCGCAGGGCCGCGGGAGGGGGAGGCAAGCCCATTTGGGGCCCTCCTGCCCCACCTCCACCCAGGGGCCCTGGCTCCCCAACGCCCAGCCCACCACGACCTGGCTCAGCTTCCTCATTTTCCACCAGAGGTGGGGCCTTTTTCCGCCGCCCCAGTCCCAGCGGCATGAGCAGTGGAAAGAGAGAGCACGCCCAGGAGATCTGCAGGGTGGGAAGTGGGCTTAGGGCCAGGGCAATGGTCCCAGGCCATCTCTCCCCCACCCTTACCACTCCCCAGGCCCAATGACACAGTCAGATCAAAGAGCCTCCGTTCACATCTCTGTCCCAGCACTTTGACACTTATATATAATATTAGTAGCTAATATCTACTATGACCCCATGCTGCCTGCTCCATGACCTTACACCATATTGTGATGTTGGGAATTACACCCATTTAAAGGATGAGAAAATGGAGGCTCAGAGTGGTTAGAGTTCTCTTTATTTTTCTATCAGTCACAGTTATTAATGCTGTGCAAAATATTTCCAACTCTCCTGTCAAAGCACGTAGGCAGATGGCACTCACTGACCTCCTTATGACTGGGTACACACGTCCCTAGCTCTGTCCAATGAGCGTGAGAGGAAGTAACACATGACATTTCTGGACTGAATCATTTAATTGCTAGAGCAAGAGCCTCCAGAGGTCTGTTTCTCCCTGGCAGGGTGACCAGCCACAATTGATATGGTGGTGGCTCCATCAGGCCAGGCCCTGAGTAACTACAGTGAATGGAACTTCCTGCATGGAGCAGCAATGAAAATTAAAACCTGCACTGAGTTCAGCTACTAAAATTTTCGTTCAGCCACTAAGTTGTCTGTTACTGCAGCACAACCTGTCCTAGCTGATACACTACTTTTCTTTCATCTCTCCCCCTACTTTGTTTCTTTCTGTCTCTCTTACTCCCTCCCTCCCTCCCGTCGAACAAATATTTTTTGAGTATTTACAGTATTCCACACACCATTTTAAATACTGCCTTCAATAAGCAAGGTCCCTGACAAGGGCCACCCTGTGCAGTTACACAGTGACACTGTGCAGAAGCACCAGACCCTGGTGTGGGGATGTGTGTGCTGGGAGGAAGGGCTGCCTTTTTCTAAGTCACTCCTAGATACTACATTGGCCAGATGGGGCCCTGTCTATGATGTCCAGGAGCAAGCAGTTCAGAGAAGGAGGTGCAAACATCTAATATAAGTTTTCATAATTCCATGAAGACAATAAAACAAGAGAAGTTCTACAGACAAGGTCAGGGAGGGCCTCTCTGAGCAGGTTATAGCTGAATCTGAGACTTGACTAATGGAAAAAAGCATCCGCATGAGGATGTGAGGCAAGAACGTTCCAAGTAGAGGGAAGGGCTGGTACAAAGTCCCTGAGGTGTTCGGCATGCCTGAGGAACAGCAGGGAGGTGTAGCTGGAACAGTGGGAGGAACAGCAGGAGGAGGTAAGGGTGGGGAGGTGACAGGCAGATGCAACAGGGCCTTGAGGGCTTCAGGGAGGACTTGGGCTTTTGCTCTTAGTGAGGTGGCAGCTTGGAGGGTTCTGAGCAGACTCACAGTCAGGCTCACGGATCAGCTAGAGACTAGTGTGGATGGAGTGAAGTAAGCAATGGAAAGGTGTGAAGAGGAAGGGTAAAAGAGGCCAACTGTGTGGGGCCTTACAGGTTGGCAAAGAGTTGAGATTTCATTTTTCAGTCACATGTCCAAAGTCACAGAGTCTGGTTGCATCCTGAGGTTTGACTTCCAAGCCCAAGTTCATAACCACAAAGCTGTCCCCTAAGCAGCTCAATCTTCCTGGCCTTAGATGCTTGGCCTATGGATGGGGACATTGTTACCTATCCCTTGTCAGGTTGTGGCGAGGATCAAATTATACTAAATTATATTTTTCTGTATAAAAGACTTCCTGTTCCCTCCCTTTAGATTGCCCCTTCTAGGAGCTGTCTTGGATTCAGTTGAGCCCAGTGGGCTGCTCCCATTCTCCTGCATCCATTCATTTGTTCATTCACTCATTCATTCATTCATTCATTCATCATTCTCCAACACTTCCTCTGGTATCACCTGGTCCAGCCCCATCATCACTCACCTAGACTAGTGCAGCAGCCTCCTCCGGGTCTTCCAGCTTCCACCCTTAACCCCTCCACAGTCTCTTGTCAAAACAGCAGCCAGAGTGACCCTGTAAAATATAAGCCATATCACAACTATGCTCTCCTCTGAATCTTCCCAGGGCTCCTCACTCAATTGGAGTAAAAGCCAACATCCTCCCCTTGGCCCATGGGCCCCAAAATATCTTTCCCTGTTACTTCCCTGCCCTCCTCTGCTCCTATTCTCTCCCTTGCTCACCACTCCAGTCACACAGGCCTCGTCCCGACACATAGGCCGTGTCCAGCCTCAGGGCCTTGGCACTGGCTGTGCTCACTGGTATCCATACAACTCATTCTCTCACCTCCTTCAGGTGGAAAATATATTTCACTTATTTATCTTGCTCACTATCTGTTTTCTGAAAGGGCAGGGAATTGTCTGTCTTATTCATCTTTATGCTCTCAGTGCAGAGAACAGTATATGGCACACAGCAGGTGACTGATAAATATTTGTTAAATGATTTATCCTAATATTCACCAGCCCACCAAACCCTGTGTCCAGCTCTGGGGAGAAAAAGGGGCACAGGCTATAGTCCCTGCCCTCAAGAGGGTCTTGTCTCCCCAGCAAAAACACAAGCCCCACCGCTGTAGTTCCCTATCCCTTGCATCCCAGCACAGAGCTGGGCACAGGGCAAGCACTACATCTAGCCACAGAGACAAAGGTATTGTATCTCTACCTTTCACTGTGGGTTTTTCTTCACTATCCTCATCATCAGTGATATGGAATATCTTTTAATACATTTATTAACCATTTGGATTTGCTCTTTTGTGGCTTGCCTGTTTAAGTCTTTGCTCATTTAAAAAAAATTGTAGGCCCTGGTTGGCATAGCTCAGTGGATTGAGTGCGGGCCTGTGAACCAGAATATAATGGTTCGATTCCCAGTCAGGGCACATGCCTGGGTTGCAGGCCCACTCACGAGAGGCAAACATACACTGATATTTCTCTCCTTCTCTCCTTTCCTTCCCCTCTAAAGATAAATTAATAAAATCTTTTAAAAAATTGTACAGCCTGTCTTTTTTCTTATTGATTTGTGGGAACTCTTTATATATTCTGAATATGTCTTTCATTTGTTACTTCTATTGATACCCACCATTGGGCTGAACACACAGTAGGCACTAACTGGGTATTTGACAAAAAATAAATTCTGAATGAATAAACCAATACTGCCTTGTCAAGTTATTTCATTAAATTCAGTGATAAAAAAAAACACAACAAACCCTCATCATCGCCTCCCAATTCTCCTCCCCCACCCTACACTACAAGAGGCAGAATGTTAAGAACATGAGTCTGAAATCTGGCTTCCCCAATTCACAGCTAAGTGGCCTTGGGCAAATGTCTCAAGCTCTCTGAGTCCTAAGAAACATGTGCCTGGAACAGTTCCTGGCACACAGTATAAGGCTTCCATAAATGTTGGCTATTACTATTTTCATCTATAAATATAGAAGAGTCACACTTCCTCTTTTTCCCAGGGCCCCCACATTCTATTCCCAATTCCCTACCTCCTATTTTCTCTGTCCACACTTGTTACCCTGGTTCAGGCTGTCCACTGTGTCCTCACCTGTGAGGGGAATAATGTTGGTGAAGAAAGTGGGTGATCAATGAATTTGTCCTCCAGGCCAGAGGAGGCCGGGTGGCCTGGGTTCACAGCCGACCCTTGCCACTTACCAGCTGTGTGGCTGTAGGCAAGTCACTTCACTTGTCAGGACCTCAGTTCTCTCATCTGAAAAACGAACAGAATTCCTGTCTCACAGTGCTTGTGGGGATTCAGAGATTAGGCATGGAACTTGCTTAGCACTTTGCCTCATAGTCAACTTAAAGAAGTGTTATTATTGCCATTATTATATTGCCTCCTTCCCTGTCCAGGAACGTCTCAGTCCTCTCTGCCTGCCAGGACCTACTACTCTACCTCCTACAGGAAGCCTCCTCAGCTTGCCCCAGCCTCTTGGAATCACCCCTGGGGTCCAGACAGCTCAGGCCCATGAACTTAATTACATGTTGCCCTAGCAGAACTCTTGTCTTCCAGTCATAGGCTGTTATTTAACTCCATGTCTCTATTTTAAAATGCAAACCAGATCATGTTACTCTCCTGCTTCAAATCTTACAACAATTTCCCACCTCACAGAGAAAAAGCTCCAAACTCCTTAACGAAACCCCCTGACTCGCAGAATTGCCACTTTGGCTGCATCTCCTGCCCTGGCCACCCTAGTCCAAGCTTGGCCCAGCCTCAGAGCCTTTGCCCTGGCCGCACCCTCTGCCTGATCTTTGCAAGGCTGGCTCCTTTTTTCATTCAGGCCTCAGCTCCAAAGTCGTATTCTCTGACAGCCCCCCTTGCCCAGAGTTCCTATCATGCCACCCCCTCATATTTCATTCATAGCATTTATCATCATTTGTAGGTATCTTCTTTATTTACTTGTTAGCTTGTTTGTTGCTCACTTCCCCTTGCAAGGATTTTTGTCTTGTTCACTATTGAACCCTCTGTGCCCAAAACAGTGCCTGGCACAGAATAGGTACTAAGTAGATACTTATAGATGAATGAATGTATCTTATATCTTCATTCTGAGTGTTCTCTGAGCCTCCCAATTCTCAGAACATGTCTGCTGTGAGGTTGCTAACTGCCGACCTCTCCCCTCGTTCTCAGGCTCCCCTCAAACCTGAACACAGGGCTGGAGGAGAGTTTCGGCCCCTGCACTGAGTGGGTTTGCTGGAAGTCCAGCACCCCCACCCTCTCTTCCTTGTAAAGAGCCTGAAACTTAGCAATCCTACAGCCTCACAGAATGAGGGGAGGAGGAAGCAGTAAAGGGGGTTCCTGGGAGCTCATACAAGTTCAGGGACAGGAAACAACCAAGTTCCCCTGTCCAGCAGGGTAATGCTCTGGACAGGAGGGCGGGAGGCCTCTGATTCAATCTTGAAAAACCAGCTCCTGGGTGTTTCCCAGGAGAACACCTACTGCCCTGGCATGGGCCCAGGCTTCCCAGGGGCACCCAGCAGGCGTGGGACCCCAACCTCCTGGCCCCCTATCTCCCTTAAAGATGTCACTCTCTTTTCAGAACCCAGGTACTTCAGCCTTGCCTTCCCGCTCAGGAAAGAAGCAGGTGTGGGGAGAAGACCGGCAGGTGTGGCCCAGGTACTGCGTATGGTGTTTGTGTGTGTGTGTGGGGGGGGGGGAGAAAGGGCGTGAAGAGGGGAAGCTGGGTAGCCAGCTGCAGGTAGAAGAGCTGTTCAGGAATATCTGAGCCATGGAGCCACTTAACATGTAGTCTAGTGGTTGCGACTCCAGTGCTGGCCTCTGAGGTATGGGTTTGAGTTCCAGATCTTCCACTTACTAGCTCTGTGCCCTTAGACAAATCATTCCACCTCTCTGGGTCTGCTGCTTCACTCATAAAAGTAACAGTAGTGTCCATGAGGTGTTCAAATTCAATGATCTGCATGGCAAATACCTGATACGGAAGTGTTCAATCAGTGCCAGTCCAATGATTGTTTTTTCATTATTATTATCTGGACCTCGGTTTTTAACAAGGCCCCCTGGGCCCAGGAGGATTGGGACACGGCCACCTCCAGGGATATAACTGGGTAGGGCTCAGAAATATCGACCCACGTCTGTCCCCGCCAGGATGAGGGCTGTCCAGAGGGGTGCAGGGGACAGAGATGCGGCTGGAGACCCCATCCCCTAGCAGTGAGAGGCTTGGCCCCCAGTCTTCCCAGGGGGAAGGGAGACGCCCGGCTGGAAAGGGGCCTTGGGCATGCCCTCGCCCGCCCAGCCGATTCCAGCCGCGTCTATGGGGCCGGCCCCACCCCGTACGATCATCCGGATTCCCGCAGGTCCACGACGGGGTCCCCGGAGCGGCAGCGCCGTGACCCGCCTGCCGGGATCACTCACCTGCGCCGCCGCCTGCCTGCGCGAACCCAGCTATACCCTCCGCAAACTCTTGCCCCGGCCTCTCCCGCAGCCTCGGACAGGGGGCGGGGCCGGAGGCTGAGTTTAGCCAATCAGGAGTTCCCTCCCTGAGCTCGCGGCCAATCCGCACCACGCCTCGACCGGTCGGGTGGGTCCGACGGAAACATTCCAGAGGGATCCCTCCGCCTCGTCCGGCTCTTCCAGACCCCCCCACGCTGTAACGCATTGGACCTTTCCGCCCCGCCTAAGCCGCTGCGGGCTGTACCACTGCAGGGCTGAGAAGGGGGGATCTGTGGATGGGTTCCGGCCAATAGAAGGGAAGGAAGGAGACGAGAGACCAATGGGAAGCTGGGGGCTTTAGACCCCCCGTGCTGTAAGGTGAAAGACTGTCTGCGGGTATTGCGTGGTAAGTGGCTGCGTGGGGCTAGTCATGGGAGTCACGTGACTGAAGTTGAGTTTTGGGGAGAGAAGGCAAACTCTCAATGTCCGGTAAAGCGAACCCTCTCGGAGGCCTGGGAAGGAGCAGAGGGCGGCCCCCAATCCCGTTCTCCACCCGGCCTGCCCTGCCCTAGCCCGGCCATCTTCGGAGCGGATAAAAAGATGCATTCATTCCAGGCTGGCGGGAGGGGGACCGAGATGAATAGGGAGGGTCTTGAGTGTCCCTGCTTCCTGGGATGTACAATGGACAAGGGCATTCATTCATTCATTCATTCACTCATCAAATATTTAATGTGCCCCTGCTCGGTGCCAGGCTCTGTCCTGTCTCTACTTACACACCAGTGAGTAAGCCAAATGTGCACCTGGTGGAGAGAACAGCGCGTGCAAAGCCCTGGAGGTCGGACAGAGAGAGAAACCACTTTAGGATAGAGCAATATAGTAGGAGATAGATAGCAAAGCAGTGTGAAAGGATGCAAGGAATACAAGGGCGTGATGGTTAGGCCAGCAAATATTTATAAAGCACATACTAAATGCTAGATTTCAAAGGGTACCCAGGTAATCCAAACCTCTGTGAAAAACGGGCCACCCGAGTCTGTACAGAGCACACATGTATGCATGAAAAGACCAGGTAATCTCTCCATCTCCGGGTTTGGCTTGTAGCTGGGATTGCTCAAGCGCGAGCAGATCCGATTAACAAAGATGCAAACGCACCTCTCAAAGGCCAGGACGCTCAGTTCTTCCCAGGACAGGTGAGAGATTTCCTTGTTCTAGTTCGAAATTGGCAACTTGGGCAGCTAGGCCAGGAATTTACTGTGTGTCCTGGAGACTGTAGTTCTTGGAGGCCTCTAACTGCTAAGACCCTGCTCAAGCTTTCTTAAGTGACTGGGTCTTTGCACTTCCCGGAGTGAGCTGCTGTGCATCCCATCCTGGCCAGGCAGAGGCAAAGTGAAAGGGAAGAGTAGACCCTAGGTTTAGCTGCTGAGGGCTGTCTGTTCCGGCCCCACCCAGCTGGCAAACATTGAGCTTGCCATGGCAACAGATTCAGCTATTGTCCTCTTCTTCCGGTTCTGCTGACCTCTATCACTCCCACTGATCCATAGTTTGCCTCAGCTGGTCCAGTGCCTTCTGTGGGACTGTGCCCACTGCCCTGGTTGCACCTGACATCTGAGTTGCTCCCTACATACCTGGAGAGGGCAGGATGTAGGGCCACAGGGACAGTAGTGTCCTGAGCCAGAATCCACCTGAATCCCACATGTTGACTGATGAGGCAATGCCCAGGGAAAGGTAAGGGAGTTGCCCAAGGGCACAGAGCAGCACATGGCATCTCCTACTCTCTTTTAGAGTTCAAGAGGCATGCCTGAAAACAGGCTGTGAGACAGACCCAACTGGTAAGGAGCTAGGATTTGAGCGTTATGCCTGCCCCTGGGGGGAAAATATATTTTAAAAAATCTAATAGAATGCCAACTATTACATGCAGAAGGAAGGTCAAGTTAGAAAATCACCATTTTTGCAGCCAGTAAATGAATAAATAATTCAGGCAAAGCTTATAAATGAGAAAGTGGATATTCAGTCTCAAGTATTCAGCTCACAGATTACTTGTTAATTATAATGGGGTAAAGGTACCAGTGGGGAAACCTGGAAGTCACCACCTTAACCAAGTGATCAAAGTTAACATCACCAGTTATGGGACAGGCCATGTTCATGTGCCCTCTGCTGTGATGTTCGGAGCTGGACATAACATCACCTGCAAAATCCTTTGCCCTGTCTAAAGTCTTTAACCTGAATCTAATCTTGGGAAGAACCAGACATATCCTGATTGAGGAATATTCCTGGATGAAAGGAAGAAAGAAAGAAAGAGAGAGAGAAAAGGAGGGAGGGAAGAAGGAACAGAGGGAAGGGGAAGAAGGAAAAAGGGAAGTAAGAGAGAGAGAGAGGAAGGAAGAAAAGGAAAGAGAGAAAACTGACCTGTACTCTTCAAGCAGATCTACGTCATAAAAGGCAAAGTCAATCCCTTAATCAAATGAATGAATAAAAGTCTGGGGAGCCCTGGCCGGTGTGATTCAGTGGATTGAGTGCTAGCCTGTGAACCAAAGGGTCACAGGTTTGATTCCCAGTCTAGGCCACATGCTTGGATTGCAGGCCAGATCCCCAGTAGGAGATGTGCAAGAGGGAACCACACATTGATGTTTCTCTCCCTCTGTGCCTCCCTTCCCCCTTCTCTAAAAATAAATAAATAAATAAATAAATAAATAAATAAAGTCTTAAAAAAAAAACCCATCTGGGGAACAGTTCTAGATTGAAGGAGGCAAAAGAGAGATGACTGCCAAAATCTATATGATCCTTGATTGGAGCCTGCATAAAACCTTCAAAAAAGATAAAGCAGTTAAACAGTTATAAAGGATATAATTGGGAATATTTAAGTGTTGAGTGGATATTAAATAATAATATAACGTCTATGTTGAATTTCCTGAGGGCAAGCATTGTGCTGTGGTTACTTAAGAGAATGGTCTGATTTTGGGGCAATACACACTGAGTTATTTTGTGGTAAATTTGTGATGGCTGCAACTGCCAAATAGTTCAGAAAAAAATTATTTATACGATACTTTATTTGCAGTATCATAATATGGTGTACATTAGTATTAATATATAAGAAAAGAGGTTGAGAGAGCAAACGTGGCAAAATAACAATTCAGGAGAGTGGTATGTATATATGGGTACTTATTTTATTATTCTTGTAAGTTTTCTATATCTTTGGAATTTTCAAAATAATCATTGCAGGAAAGTACCCTACTTCTTCCCCATCTCCAGAGGCAAACTTCTTTTTTTTGTGTCTTTTAAAAACACTTGCACTGTTTAGGATCCAGAGATACATGAAGAGATGCTCAATATCGCTAGCCATCAGAGAGATGCAAATTAAAACCACAATGAGATACCACCTTACACCAGTCAGAATGGCTATCATAAACAAAGCAACAAACAACAAATGTTGTAGAGGTTGTGGGGAAAAGGGGTCCCTAGTTCACTGTTGGTGGGAATGCAGACTGGTACAACCATTATGGAAAACAGTATGGAATTTTCTAAAAAAACTAAAAATGGACCTGCCTTATGAGCCAGCAATTCCATTGCTGGGACTATATCCTAAGAATCCTAAGATACCAATCCAAAAGAACCTGTGCACCCCAATGTTCATAGCAGCACAATTTACAGTAGCCAAGAGCTGGAAGCAACCTAGGTGCCCATCAGTAAATGAACGGATCAAAAAATTATGGTACATATACACAATGGAGTTCTATACAGCAGAAAGTAAGAAGGAGCTCATACCCTTTGCAACAGCTTGGATGGAACTGGAAAGCATTATGCTGAGTGAAATAAGCCAGGCGGTGAAAGACAAATACCATATGATCTCACCGTTAACAGGAAGCTAAATAACAAAATAAACAAGCAAGCAAAATAAAAACAACAACACTGAAATCAAGAACAGGGGGACAGCGACCGGAGGGGAGAGGGGAGGGAATTTCAGGGGAAAAAAGGGAAGGATTTAGAGGAACTAGCATGAAGGACACATGGACAACTACTAAGGGGGGTGGAAAGGGGAGGGAGGTGGGGAGCACGGGGGGGGGGCTGGGAAGGGAGTAAAAGAAAGAATACTGTAGTTGAAAAATAATTTTAAAAATAAATAAAATAATTTAAAAAACCATTTGCACTGTATTATATAGGTGTTCTATTATATTGTGCTTCTTACTTTTTTCCCCCCTGCTCAGCATGGTACTGCTTGTTTGCTTGTTTTGGAATATACCTTGAAGGTCCGTCTGTATTGCTAATTTCTTGACTGTGTTTTCTTCTAAATTTTCCTTAATGCTGCATGAGCTGCCTCGCTCATAACTTACTCATTTTACCCTCAAGGACGGTCATCAGGCAGCCAGCCTCCCGCTCCTCACACCACAGTGGACAGCCACGGACATACCTCTTTAGGGACCTGGTAAAAATCTCCTTAGAGATACTTGGACATGGAGATGCTGGGTCACAGGGCAGAGTGAATTGCTCTGTGGCCCCTCAGACTAGCTGCGTCCATCACACACACTGGCAGTACTGGAGGGTCCCATGTCCCTACATTTCCACCAGTCATCGGCATTATACAGCTTACTAATTCTTGCCACTCTCACTCACTGTAAATTAATATCGCCATTGCTTTATTTTATATTTGTCTAATTTCTAGTCATTTTGAGCATATCCTCATTTGCTTGATAGCCTTCTGGTTCTCCTCTTCTGTAAATTACCTGTTTATAGCTTCTGCCCTGTTTGCACTTGATCTTGCTATCATTTCTTGTTCATTTGCATGAGTTTCTTACAGAGTGTAAATCTGCACTGTACAAACCGATTTGACTTGAACACTTTGCTTTCACGTGGTTATCGAGAACTTAAAAAGTGGCTAATAGAAATTGAGATGTGCTGTTGGCGTGAAATACACACCGGATTTCTAAGACTTAGTGGAAAGCAAAGAGGATGTACAATACTGCACCTCATTAGCTGCTTTTTTATACTGATTACATGCCATCATAATAATGTGGATGTATTGGGCTAAATGAGATGTTATTAAAATTAATTTAACCTTTTTTTTTTACTATTTTAAT